CTGATCTTAGAGCCACCTGGCTCACTTCTTATTGTGTAATTGTTATCCTAAAATATTAACCAGATGCTCATTCTGATTCTGTAACCTTCCTTAACCACTTGCTTGCTCAGAAAACAAAAAGACTAACAAACATGACAATTTCTCAAGTAACAGAAAATCCCCAGAGTTGAGACAATTGTGGTTTGTTCCTTTAAAAACTCCAGCTCCTGGTTTTCCCCTTTGCAGCAGCTCTCAGACTTGCAAAGAAGGTGGTTGTTGCAACATTGCTATAAATAAAATAACCTTGTTATTTTATCTTTTAAATTTAATTTTGTTTGGTGGTCTTTCCCTGGTCATCTTGGAGTCCACAACAGTGGTGTGTATGATATAACATTGTGAATCAGTTGGAGTTAAGTAAAGTGCTATTGGTTTTAGAACATATCCATATGTGAGCTCCTCTACAGAAAAATTTGCTACCAAGATTGAAGCTGGAATAATTCTTTCAAAAGAAACATAATACATGGCTCTTTAGATTTTTGGTGTGTGTATTAAAAATTGTACATGAATTGAAATGTAATAATAAAAATAATAATAATGATAATGATAATAATAATAAGTATACAACCCACTAACAAACAAAATCCCTGGGAGATGGATATGGTTGCACTCCCTTCTAATTGTAGCTCTCTGGAGGGTAAGGCAGGAAGATCACAAGTTTAAGGCCAGTCTGGGTTACATACTGATTTCCAGGACCCCATAGGCTGAGATCCTGTATCACAAAAAAAATAAAATAAAACAGAACAAAAATGAAGAGTATTACAAAATGACTGCTGATGCCAGCTGCCTATTCCAGGCAAATTGAGGCCAGGAAAAGGAAAACAAGAGCGAAGGGGGCTGGGGAAGAGAAGACATAAATGGCATAGGTGGTCCAGCTGACAATGACTTCAGCAGCACCCCATCTCCAATCAGACTCCAGAGCAAGGATGGTATTACAGAGCCCTGGGAAATGGGAGCATATTTCTGGGTGTTAATTAATGTCCTCTGACACAGGCTCTACTGTGACCCTCTGGTTCTTAAACCAAACCTGAAATCTGATGATAATAGGGACAATCAATGCCAGTAAAGGAAGCTGTACACTATATAATTCATTATACCTTTGAGAAGCTGCTTCTTATTGGTTGTAGTAGGACAGGCTCATAGGGTTGAGGAAATTGGCTCAAACCAGTTTCTTTCTTTCTTTTTTTTTTGAGACAGGGTTTCTCTGTGTAGCTTTGGAGCCTTTCCTGGAACTCACTCTGTAGCCCAGGCTGGCCTCGAACTCACAGAGATCCGCCTGCCTCTGCCTCCTGAGTGCTGGGATTAAAGGCGTGTGCCACCACCACCCAGCATTATAATGGAATACTTTTTTTAAGATTTATTTATTTATTTATTTATTATGTATACAGCATATATGACTGCAGGCCAGAAGAGGGCACCAGATCTCATAACAGATGGTTGTGAGCCACCATGTGGTTGCTGGGAATTGAACTCAGGACCTCTGGAAGAGCAATCCGTGCTCTTAACCTCTGAGCCATCTCTCCAGACCTCAAACCAGTTTCTAAGGCATGCACATAACATACTTCCTTATGAGCCAACTTGGAGTCTGCCTGAGGGCCTAGCAACAGGTGCTGTCAGAGTTCCTGATTGTGCCCAGCCAATGAGGGACGACCAAGCAACATCACCAGATTTGGACACAGCTTGAGTGCTGGGAGGAAGGTATATAAGGCCTTCCCCATTACTGAATAAACGAGTCTGCTGTTTGCCTTCACCTGACTCCCGGTGTCTGTGTCATTGACACCGAGGCTTCTCACCCCCTCTCCTGAGGGAACCGTTAGGATCCAGCAACAATTGGTAACTATTTTCGTGAAGTTATGGGTTCCCTCCATTCAGTTAAGTTGTGGAGCATTTCACAGCCTGGTCTCTCTCCTACCATGTTTGCTTTTGTCCACCCCTTTGAGACATTTCCCTCTAACTTAGGTTGAAGAGGACCTTGAACTCCAATTCCTACTGCTTCCATTTCCACTTCCAAAGTGATGGGATTATGTACGTATGTCACCATGTCAGACATAATTCTTTTAAGGATAGGGTCTCATGTATCCCAGGCTTGCCTAGAACTGGCTTTTGTACCATAAGATTACATTGAACTTCTGGCCCCTCTGTTTCCACCTCCTGAGTTCTGGGTATTGCTTGTGTGTACAACCATACTCAGTTTATGCTGAGGATTGAACCTAGGGTTTTATGGCCACTGTTCACTCTAGTGACTGAGCTGCATGACTGATCCCATCCTTTTTGAGAGAGGATCTCTCTCTCTCTCTCTCTCTCTCTCTCTCTCTCTCTCTCTCTCTCTCTCTCCCCTCATTTGGAGGTTGTTGAATACAGTATAATGTAGTCCCTGCTTTAAATGATACTAAGTGGAACAGCTTCCTATTTGAAAATCCCATCTTCAGTCTGAGGTAAGTAGACTATAGAAGTGAGACAGATATTAATATTTTGAGATAAGGTATCACTGTGTAGCCCTGGCTGTCCTGCAATGCACTAACTCACAGGCTCAACTCAAACTCAAACTCAAACTCACAGGCATCTGCCTGTCCCTGTCTCCTTAGTGCTGGGATTACAGGTGTATGCCACTGTGCCTGGGTTTAATTTTTTTACACTTATTTGTATATGTTTGTGTGCATGTACACATACTATAACAAATGTGTGGGGGCAAGAGGACAACTTGCATGAGTAGGTTCTCTCCACCAGCTGTGATTCAGGGATTAATTCAAGTAGTCAGGATTAGTGGCAAGCCCTTTACCCACTGAGCCATTTTGCTGATCCCAGGCTGGGTATTAAACAAGTTTTTCTTGAAGATGTCCTCCAAAACTTGTTGAATTAAAAAAACCTGACAAAACCTTGGACATATGGGGCCCAAAGCTTTCGCCCTGCCTAGCTGCAATAAGACAATTACTGAGTTCCTTAACACTGATTTGATATTTCAACCTATAGAGTTTAAGAATATATATTTATATGTGTGTATATGTGTGTGTTAGATTAAAAAATTATTTGTGTGTGTTGGGGGGGGGGCACATGCATGTGCTTGCTGGTGCCTGAGGAGGCCAGAAGAGGGCATAGGATCCATTGGAGCTAGAATTACAGGTGGTTGCTAGCTGCCCGATGCTGGGAACTGAACTCTGATCCTCTGCAAAAGTAGCAAGCACTTGTAACCTCTGAGCCTTCACCCTAGCCTTGGTTTAGGAATCTAAACAAACTGGACCCAAATTCACTAAAAATCACCACCATATCTGCAGCTTCTTCCCATAACTACACACTACACACACTATAGAGAAAACCTGATAAGCTCTCCCTAGAATGAAATCCTTGCTGTGTGAAGTGTGAAGATAGGAGTTTGGAACACTAGAACTCCCATAAAAAGCCAGGGAAGCATGGTAGTCTGTAATTCCATCACTCAGGAGCAGGCTGGCTCATTTGACTAGCAGGAGTTGGCAAGTTCCAGATTCAATGAGAGATTCTACCTCAATAAATAAAGTGGAGAGTGACCTGAGGAAGACCCAGTGTGGACTCTGGGTCTCCATTTCCATGTGCACACTCGCACACGTGCATGCTCACACACACACACACACACACACACACACACACACACACACACACACACACACAGAGTACTACAACATAGGCATTGTGATAAATCCGAGCACCTGGGTACCTCAGACAGGAGTATTGGTTGCTGTGCATTCCTAGTCCAGTCTGGGATACAGTTACTACCAGGGAAGCCAGGGCTATAACAAGCCTGTCTTAAATAAAACAAAGGGAAAAAAACTAACAAGATAACCTGAAAAAGTCTTAAACACTGGAAATTTCTGGAGAATATTCAAAGTTCAATTTGTGCCCTATCTTCAAGATATTTAGTTGTCATCTAATTCATTGTTATCCTTTATTCTAGATGTGTGAATGTGTGGGGGTATGTGCACAGGAGTGCAGAAGCCCTTAGAAGTCAAAAGAATAAAATTTCCTGGAGAGTTATAAGGGCTTATGAGCCACCTGACCTTAGTACTGGGAACCAAAGAGTTCTCTGCAAGAGCAATACAGCTTGCTCATAACTACTGAGTCATTTTATCTAGGTTTTTTTTTTTTTTGTGTGTATGTGTGTGCGTTCTGAGGGCATGCTGTGGAGGACAATTTTTGGAGTCTACTCTCTCCTTCTATCCTGGAATTGAACCTGGGTTTTCAAGCTTTTGGGCAAACACTTTTATCCTCTGAGCCACCTGCCCCAGCCCCTGGACTGTTCTTTGTTCTAATTTTAGAGAAATAGCCAATTTGTAAATGTTTTACCCACCCTCCAGCCTGATATATTTTGGCAGTGACTTCAGATGACACAACTATTCTAGAAAGATGAAAACCCTGAGTTAGGACTTTCCATACGACATTACTATAGGCTAAAATCAGGGCAATTGGACGCTTTGTCTTTTGAGCTACCTCCCTCATCAGATCTAAATATATATTTGTTTATATGGTGTGTTCTGGGTAAACTTTTTTTTTTACTCCAATGCTAAAACATAAACTCATTCAATGAACTAAGTCTATGTGTTTTAATTAAAAATTATTTGTATGGATGTTTTGACTGTATGTGTCTGTACACCACGTGTGTGCCATGTGCACAGGGAAGCCAGAACAGTGTCAAGATTTTCTGAAACTAGAGTCACGGACAGTTGTGAACCACTGTGTGGGTGCTGGGAATTAAACTTGATTCCTCTGGAAGAGCAGCTAGTGCTCTTAACTGCTGAGTGGTCTTTCCAAACCTGTTTTAAAAATGATTATGGGAATTACAAAGTTAAGTCCCGGTGAACCACTTTGCAAATTTCCCAGGTTAGAATGGTACGGAACGCAGCTCCACCCAGTATTCCCTAAACAACAGCAGCAGCAGTGTTAAAACAGTTAAATTTTATTTAGTCTTAGACAGTGAACAGGAGCAGCAGGTTGGTTCCTTTTCTTTTTTCCATTAGCAAGTTACTATTCTTTTTGTGAGATTCCCATTTGATGTTTATTCCATTTTTATTACCCCAAATGCCAATTTTAAATTTTAATTGACAAATATTGGCTAGGTAACGAAATATGATGAAATTTGCTTATTCCATTTCCTACTCCTCCTAAATTTTACTAATTTCACAAACATGGGGCAGGTAGTCAATTAATATAAGGATAACTAGGAGAAAAATGTGAAAATCTTTTTGCGGGTTTTAGAGAGACTACTTGGACACTTCATCTTCAGGTTCACAGGGCTCGGCGCTGGCTTCAACATTCACCGGTATTCCGAGCTCCTTCCTAAGGGGAAGAAAACAGCAAACGTTCAAGATTTTGTTATAGGTAAAATGAAATGCATTGAACTGGTGGTGACCCTCCTGCCTCTGCTTCTCAAGTGCTAGGATCCCAAGAGTTGGGGACACTAAGCTTGGCAAAGATGATTGCTCCCACCCAGTGGGCCCTACAGCTTCTGACTACGGAGGGGAGAGAAGGAAACTGGGAGAAACCCAAGGCATCCCTGGAAGAAACTTCCTGTCCCCTAGAGCAAGAGATTTACCGCACAAACACGTCGGGGAACTGAGTGCGCTGGAAAATGCGTTCCAGCTCGCTAAGCTGCAGCCTGCTGAAGGTGCTGCAGATCATGTGGAGATTAGCATCATCCTCGAGTTGCGGCATCCCGGCCGCAGCCTCGAGGGCTGGCTGGTCCTGGTCCTGCACACCATAGCCCTTGTTTTCCTCATCGGTCTTGGTGCCAGGTGCTCCCGCACCGACATCTACGAAACCAAAAGCGCTGCCCTCTCCCGCAGCTACTCCCAAATCGGGTTTAGGCCAGATTTGATCACCACCATCGCCTCCTGCCCCTACATTGATCTCAGGAGGCTTGGCTTCTGAAAAGGAGGATAAAGAGAGAGATCGAGATGCCAAGAGATAGAGAGACAGACTACTGACAGAAACACACAAAGGCGTTCGGCCCCACACCCCACATCTAAGTGCCACCACCAAGGAGTAGCGTTGGTGGCGTCCAGTACCACCCTATCCACCTATGTCCCCCACAGAGCTTGTTTTTTGGGGGCTCTAGCCGCCGAATTCCCCCAGAGGTTTCTCTGTGGGGAGAGGTCCGTCAATTTCCCAATTGTAGCCCAAGCACCGACCTTTGGCTTCTTCCAAGTAAGCACCAACTCCTAGGCTCTGGTAGCTGGAGTCCTCGTGCTCAAAGTTGAGGGGACGATCCATTTCGAAGGTGTCTTCGAGCTCTCTCAGTAGGTCTGCTCGGCAAGATGGCAGCTGGACGACCGCTCGCTGCGCCACCGCCAACCGTTCTGCTCCAAGCTTTGAGAAGCGAACGAACCTAAGGGAATTGTACCGACTGTGACGTTCGCAGAGCTTGGGATTGGACGGCTGTGAAATGTTCGATGTCGGGGATTGGACGAATTGCAGGTACTACTACACTGGTGATTGGACAGGCTAGGACGCGCTAAAGGTTTGTGATTGGACGGACTGTGATACATTTGACGCTGCAGATTGGACAGTCTAGAGGCATCCGTCCCTGGGCATTGGATGGGCTGGGACACTTATGCACACAATGCTAGGGATTGGTGGACTGGAATGTGCATACACACTATGCTGGGGATTGGGCAGACTGCAAAGTACGTAAGATTGTGGGGATTGGGTGACTGTTGGGAGGGCAAGCTTATAGGGGGAGGGGCAGAGGAGCGAGAGAGTGAAATCTCGCGTAACTTATGAGACTGTGGTGAAAGCCCCGCCCCCAAGGTGCTCATGCGCATTTGTTGTGTGATGTCTTGGTGCATCAAGTGCTAGAGTGATGGAGACTGGAGTAGTCTCTCAAAGCTCAGCTATCTCAGAAGAAAGGCAACACTTCTTGCCCTAGGGTTCTGACCCATTCCTTCCTAAAGTCCCTAAGTTGTAAATAAAATCAATCAAGCAGTAGTTTACACAATATGAGTTTGCCCAACCACATACATACAAAAAGCTCAGTGAGCCATGTGTGGCAAGGTGTCCGTGTTGCTGGAGTTTGGGATTCTGGATGCTCACATTGTTTGAGTGGGAGCTCCACCTCAGCCCCTGGCACCCTGGCATCCCTATACCCAAAGAGTCTGGAATGTTTGGAAGGAGTCTGGTGGAAGATCCACCTCGGCTCCCTTCCCCATCTCTTTCCCTAAACCCGCCCCTTCAAAGCTTGCCAAACACAGCTCCTCCCCCAAACCCGCCCCTTCAAAGCCCGCCAAACACAGCTCCTCCCTGAAAGGGAGGCTCAGGACAACTCCCACAGGGGATGTATAAGTGGCTCCCAGAAAACAGACCCGTAATTCTTCTGGTCTCATGTCCCTGTCTCCTCTCTGGGGGCCAGGGAATTGCCTGGGATCGCTTTACCCATTAAACCTGGGCTTTCCAATTCTATCTGATTTGGTTTGCTGCCTTGGTGGAGAGGCCTTTAGGAGGCCTAAAACTTACCATCTGGAGGTTCCACCGAGGGGGGATTGAGTTTTCCCCACTGTCCCAGGGCCGCTTGGTGGGAAAACACCCCTCTCCCCCACATCTGCTAGACTAAGATTGACTCTCGGCTGGGTAAGTTGCCCTTTCCAAGTTCTTGCCTAGGAGGCCCAGGGCCTCTTTATTTTTCTGAGTGTCTTGCCGGAGTCGCAGCAGAGCCAGGTCCTTGACCCATTCTGGAGCACAGGGCTGCCTTTGCTCCCCACGACCTGTTCTAGTGGAAAGGGCTGCCTTTGCTCCACCTGACCATTCTGGTGCAAAGGGCTGCCTTTGTTCTGTGGGACCCTTTCTCCAGAAGACGTTCTGTTGAAGGGAATTTCCCACCTCCCACCCACCCCCGTTTTTGACCCAAGACTTACCACAGTGGACACATTGTGCTAGGCTTCAGGTCTTGGCATAGACTTGAGAAACGGCACTTGCCATTCAAAGCCTGATCCCCAAATACCCCTGTGTGGTCTTTTACAAAATCTGTTCAAATTGGGGCTATCTGAGATAATTGGACAGAACTGCTCTACGTCCACGGTTTTTGGGTTCTACATTCCCACTCTCCCTACAGGGGATCCATTCACTACTGGAGATACTGATCCCTCCCCCACTTCCCCCAAACTCTACCTACCCAACCCCCTCCTCCACGACCAAAAATCTAAGACCAAATTCCTCCTCCTTACCCTCCTTCCTGTCCTCCACTCCCCCCATTGCTCCTCCCTGTCTCCCAATACCTCAGCCTATACACTGGCCTAACGCCCTCAAATCTTTCTTATATTCAGTCTCACCAGACTCCTGCCTTCCCACCCATTTTCATTTCTCAGTTAGCACCAGATGTTAGAAAAAATTAAAAAAGGCTGAGGAGGGTCCCCAAACTCCCCTACAGGAATTGGTGAAAACGGCTTCTAAAGTTTTTAATGCTCGAGAATGACAGCCGAGTCAACCTGACAGACAAGGCTGCAACAGAATACACTCCAAGCCCAAGCCTTAGCAGCTGCTCTGAGGTCACCAGGCCCCCCACAAGGGGTACAAGGGAAGTCGGCCATGAGGCTCCATCCCACCAGAGCTCAGCCCAAGTCAACTCCACCAAAAACTTGCTTCAAATGTGGCAAGGAGGGCCACTGGTCACAGTATTGCCCTGACCCCCAGCCACCCAGGAGGCCATGCTCTGTCTGCAGACAGCCTGGGCACTGGAAATCGGAATGTCCCTATGCAGGCTCGTCCTCTATGCCATGCCATGGAGGTCTCACCAACTCTGGCAACTGAGAACTCCTAAGCCTGGTGGAGAACTGACATGGTCTAGACCTGCTGACTCCCATTGCCCTCTCCAAGCCTAGGGTGATGCTGCAGGTAACGGGTAAGTCCATTGACTTGACTTTCTTTTGGACACGGGAGCTACCTATTCTGTTTTGACATCTCACTCAGGTCCTACGGTTCCCTCACGAATTTCTGTCACAAGGGTGGACAGGATCCCTTCCTTCCCACTTAAGACTCTGAACACTTCCCTGCATTCTTGCAGGGTGATTCTTCTCACACTTTTTCTGGTCATTCGTGCTTGCCCTGCACCTCTGCTTGGTTGCAATGTTCTCAGCCTTTTTGGGGTCACACTCACCTTGGCCCCCACACTCTCTTGAGTATTTCACAGGTCCATTCACAGGGGCCCTCCAGATATGTCAGCCTCTGCACCAGCTTTGTGGACACCAACCAGGAAAGGTTGAGAAGGCCAATGGACTCATCAAACGACAGCTCACCAAGCTCTCCATTGAACTCAGGTTATCTTGACCCTCTCTTCTCCCCACTGCCCTTACCCGCCTCCAGGCCAACCCATACTCTCCTACAGGTTTGAGCCCTTTTGAGCTCCTTTACGGAAGGCCCTTCCTCCTCAATCATCACCTCCCAGCCCAAACTTCCCCACTGGCCAGGTACCTTCCCTACCTCTCTCTTCTGAGGTCCCTTCTCCATTCACATGCTGACAGCTATCTCCCTGCCCCCCCACCAACAGACCCAACTGCCCCTGAGCCTGCCCCACTCTCCCCAGTACTCCTCAAACAGGTAGCTCTTAAGTCTCTTGAGCCCCAATGGACAGGGTGTTATACTGTGATCCTCACCACCCCCTCGGCCACCAAGCTCCTGGGACATCCTTGCTGGTACCATCTCACCAGGCTCAAGCGGGCACCTATTCAGGATACATGGTCTGTCCAGCAGCTGGGACCCCCCACCCTCCAGTTTTCCAAGATGTCCCACTAAAGGGCCTATCTGCTCTTCTGCTCTGTACATTCATCTTTACAGTACAACTAGGGCAGATGTTAATAATCTATTTTTCCCTAGAAACTTGCCCTCTTTGCTTCCTCAAGAAACAGATGCCTGAGGTCTCCAGGATGACAATTAACCGGATGCTCCTCCACTCACACCTCCTGTTGAATGTGAGCTCACCAATTCCTGACTCCTCTTTCCCACATTGCCCAATGCCCACAGGAAGTAGTCAGACTTGAACAGGTGTCCCTATACCCAAAGAGTCTGGAATGTTTGGAAGGAGTCTGATGGAAGATCCAACTAGGCTACCTTCCCCATCTCTTTCCCTAAACCCACCCCTTCAAAGCCTGCCAAACACAGCTCCTCCTCCAGAGAGGCTCAGGATGACTCCCACAGAGCTCCCAGAAAACAGACTTGTGGTTCTTCTTGTCTCGTCTCCTCTCTGGGGGCCGGCTCCCAGAAAACAGACTTGTGGTTCTTCTTGTCTCGTCTCCTCTCTGGGGGCCGGCTCCCAGAAAACAGACTTGTGGTTCTTCTTGTCTCGTCTCCTCTCTGGGGGCCGGCTCCCAGAAAACAGACTTGTGGTTCTTCTTGTCTCGTCTCCTCTCTGGGGGCCGGGGAATTGCCTGGGAGCACTTTACCCATTAAACCTGGGCTTTTCCTGATTTGGTTTGTTGCAACGGTGGAAAGGCCTTCAGCAGGCCTAAAACTTATCACACGTGAAAGCTTCCTGCTTTATTGTTTTTTTCAAAGGAAGTAAGAAATAGTTTATTCTGAAACCAAAAAAAATATGGAACACTTCATGAATTAGCATGTCATCTTTGCACAGGGGCCATACTAATCTTCTCTGTATCATTCCAATTTTAGTATATGTGCTGTTGAAGCAAGCACTCCCTGCTTGATTTTTAAATATTTTTATCTTCTATTATGTTTGTTTATGTGTGTGTTTGTATGGTAGTGTGTATAGGCCAGAGGACAACTGTTACTTATTAAGCAGCACTGTTTACCATGTGAGTGAAGCCACGAGGCACAACAAAACCCGCTGTAAGAGTTTATTAAGGGAAGGGAATAGAAAGGGTGCATAGGCCTATGGAATGACCATGCAGGAAGAGAGAGAAGAAATAGGTGGAACCTGCTTTTGTAGGTCCCCCCCTCCGCAAACATGTGTATATGGACTTACATAGCTACACCATGCATGTGCATAGATTATGTGACCACGCAGTGTACGGATTATGTAGGATGTAAGACCTTAGTATGACTGAGCATCTTGCCTGGCTCCTGGACAGAGCATGTGCAGTCTTGTAGCTGGGGGAGTGGCTAGGAATTCTAACAACAACTTTTACAAGTCTGGCCACTCCTTCCATTATGTGGGTCTTAGGGACTGTATTTGGGTCTTCAGGCTTGGCGGCAAGCACCTTAACTGTTGATCCATCTTCTCTGTCCAGACACTCTTTGCAAAATGCCCCAGTGCTCTGTGCTGGTTGTGTTGAACACTTCCCAGTGTTCACTATCCAAGAATGCTTATACAATAATGGATCTTCCTTTATCTCTAGATAGGGCTGCAGAGCATGTAGTACCTGTAGGGTAAAAGGGCCAGCCAAAGAAAACTACTCTGTCCCTGAAACCCACCTGGCTGTAAGAACTGAACCAGTGAAAGAAACATTTCAATCCTGAACCCAGCACCAAAGAAATATGCCCCAACTCTGAAACACACTTTGGCCCTAAAATCAGAGCCAGTGAAAGAAATATGCCCTGGCGCTGAATTTAGAGCCAAAAAATAAAAAAGAGCCTGTGAGAGAAACACACTTTGGCCCTGAAACTAGAGCCAAATCTGCCCTTGACCAACTAAGCAGAAAACCAAGCAATCCCTGAGTAGGAAAATGAACCCCCTGAGTAGAAAACCAACCAATCCCTGAGCATAAGATCTAGTCAATCTGAGCTCAAGGACTGAAATCTGATCAATTCCCACCCTGAAAATCTCGGTGGAAAAAAACTCCACCTCTAAGAAGCCCAATATAAGCTTTGCATCTCTTCGGTTTTCTGGTGCCTTCTTCCACACTGGCTGAGGCAGCCACTCTCCTAGATTCTTCCCTCCCAATAAATTTCTTAAATGAGGTTTGCGCGACAACCCTCTTTCACCAGAGCACAGATGGAGCAGAGACAGAGCAGAGCAAGCCATACCACTTTCTCTGGGGAACTCTTCCCCAGTGGAGCTGAGTTATTACACTCTGGGAAACCAGAACAGAACTGTAACAGCTTTGTTGAGGAAACCCTCCCCTGCCAGAGCAGAGCTGTTACACTGGAGAGACCTTTCCCTGGAGCAGGGCTGTAAGCTGATATGCTCACTGTGATGCTGTGGTATTCCTTGGATCCTGGTTACCAGAATGCTTTTCCACTGGAGCGGTAACACTCAGTATTCTTTGACTCCCTGCGGAACACCACCTGAATAGGGGAGTGAGAATTAAGAAAAGACAGATAGAAAAAACAGAGACATAAAAGAAAAGACAGAGACATGGGATAGATTTGGGAGGACTGTCAGTGAATACTGCAGCCCTAAATTTATTTCTCATGGCCTTTATATACAGAAAGCAAGGAGGCAAAAAGACTTCCTTATCTTAAGGACACCATGGTTCAAGGAACAGACAAGCGTAAACATAATTCTCAGGTCATCTGGTAACCATGGCCTTTGGCAAAACATCCTGTTATTCAGCCCTGAGGAGCAAAAACAAGCTTGAACTCTCTGATCTTAAGTCAAGATGGAATCAAGCCACAAGATGGAGTCACTGTGGGCTTCCACAATGCCCTCCCCTTTTTTGAAAGGTCCCCTGAACCCCTCAGATGACTATGCTTGTCTTAGGTTGCCTTTTTCAACCATCCAGCCATACCCATCTTTGGCACATGAATTCTGTCATTCATACCCTGTCTTAGTTTGAAAGGTGGTAAAAAGGACTTACCCATCTTTGACTACCAGCCTCTGGAAATCTCAAGGGAGGGTACGGAGCTTAATTTCATGCAGCTCTGAACCAACTTTCTACTGAGAGTTCACAAGTAATTTGATAATCATAGGCAAGCAAACAATGCCCAGCAATACACATGCTCCTGTGGCTGCAATACCTCCTAATAGCAGAGTAAAGAATGACCAAAATGGAATAGCCTTTTTAGATTGGTCCAGGATGTCTTTAGCAGTTTTAGCTGCATCAAAATCCAACTTTGCCTTTTTAAAATCAGTAATCTCCTGATGTGACCACATTAGAAATATTTACATTCCCTACTAACAATGCATATGGTGCATTAACACAAACTAATACTGACCCATTCTGTCCTTCAGACAACTGCTTTTAGTCAATTAAAAGAAGCAATCTGTCAAATTCCAGAAAGTTATTAACTGGGTTCACATGCCCCAAATTAAACCCTGTTCTCCAAAATCCACTCCAAAACAAACAAACAAACAAACAAACAAAACCCCACTAAAACAGTAAATCAGTTAAACACAGTTTCTCTTCAAAAGTCACACTCCCCAAATGCATTTTACTTGAAACCCTCTGTGGATCAGAAGCTCCAACTAAGTGTTTTGGTTCCTGTTGCTTCCTTGGTTGGTTTCTACTAAATGGCCCAAGTGTCTAATCTGATACAGCACTGTCTTCTTGCTGCTTGTCAACAAACTCTTGCCAACACTGAGAACACAGCTAGCATCAATCACCTTGTCCACACACCATTTCCTCATCATATATGAATGCAATGAGCATGACGACGGATAGCGTGTAATACACTGAGTTATGGCACACAGCCCACCATGTCAACCGCACCACCTGTCCACCACAGAGTCCACACACTCCAATGATACATAGAATGTTGAACACAGCAGAGCCCACAATAGTCCCCACACCACCATCTCTGTGGGTGATGAACACAACAACAACAGAAGCAAGCAGCTCTGGTGTCAGGCTTCCTGCAGTCGTGAAGGCGGGTACCAGCCACATCTTCACTCACGTGAAGTTTCTCACAGATCTTCTCTAGGGATGGGACAAAGAAGTCATCGCACATGATGTCCAGGGCATAAAACATGTAGAGAGCACTGAGGATGTTTAGTAGGACAGTGCCATGCTGTCGTTCTTTGTTGGAGAACAGGTCTGTGGGGAACTCGTGAACTGCAGGATCTGTGCCGTTCTTAGCTGGCAGAGTTCCATTTATCAGCGCCAACAACTTTCTATTTTGCTACATGTCTGGCAGAACATGTTTGCTAGAAGAAGCTGTTTTGTGGCTCAAGCTTCTGAAGAGGCCTCATGCACAGCACACCAGGACCAGCATGGAGCACATGAAGTCAACTTGCTGTGACAGCATCTTGCTTCCTGTGAACTTCGTGTGGCAGGAGAGGTTCGCAGAGCACAATCTCCATGCACCCGGCGTCCCTGGGAGAAAGAAGATCCTGAGCTTGAATGTTGGAGTGCTGTCGGTGGTCCAGCGGCTCTGGGGTTGCAGTAGGGCCACGCGCAGCTCTGAAGGAAGGTGCCCCAGGAGATATAATCATGGTCCATGAGCAAGGCAGGCTTGGGAAACTCGGATGGGGATACTGGGGGAGGGAGTGTATGGCATGGCCGGAGCTCAGAGTTCCCCACAGGGCATTCGCAGCGCAGGTCATGACTCCATATGAGGAAACAACACCTGCCTGCACCGTGGTGCTGTTGGCCTTGGCTGGTAGGTTTGGCTCAGTCTGGGTGCTTGGAGTCACTACCTGCCTACTGCGCCTTGGCATGCTCGGAGCCTGCCGAGGTTGCCTGCCGAGGTTGCTGCTCAGGCTGCTGTTGATGTGGATACTACATTCGTGGCAGCAGTGGGGGCTGCGAAACCCCCACCCTGTTCCCAGGGCACACTATTTTGGAAGAACTTTTTTTTTAAGTTGAAAATATTTTCTTTTTTTATTAAGAATTTTTAAAATTCATTTTACATATCAATCACAGATCTCTGGATCTCTGGAGGGAAGAACTTTTTTTTAATCCACCCCTTCATCAGCCTCCTCCTTGGGTCCAAGGATTAAAATAGTTTAAGTGGGACGTGAGGGAGATGCAAGCACACGGATGCAAACAGTGTTCCTCACGGGGTGGAAAAAAAAGGGAGGAGGGAGAGATTTTGGGGTGGATTTTGTTGTTGTTTCCTTAAAAAAACTGTAAAGATGGAAGGGAGGAAAGAGCGGGTGTTAGTCAAAAACACCCTTGTCTTCACAGTACGAGTTAGAGAATGCAGCCTGAGCTGGAAAACCAGAGACTGTAAGAGAGCCACTGAGGGACTGCTGCCAGAGTTACAGACCTTAGGCTACAGAGTGTCAGCTAAGAGAGTAGGAAAAACAGTGGAATATCAATAGGCCCCACTGGTCTTAAGGCTGTTTTCCAGGCAGGCAGGTCAGAGGCCTGGTTACCTCTTGTCTCAGGAGAATAATTTTTTTCGAGGTCCTCAACAGTGAAGGATAGCAATTTGTAGGGAAAGCCAAATAGCCTCCAGGAGGGTCAAGATTTTCTCTATTTTTTTCAGTGTCCTTTTCCTCAGTGGTGAGAAGCCCTCATTCATACTGTGGACATGTGTGGTAGTTAGCATAGTGACTCTCTTTGTATATGGTGATGGACTTTCCCCACCTGAGAGCCTGGCTTAGAGTGATCAGTTCAGCTCTCTGGGCTGAGGTACCCGGTCCTAAGTTGTTTCAGTTACAATAACTACTGAAAACCCCACATACCTGGTTCCATCTTTAATGAAGCTGCTCCCATCCACAGAGAGTACTACATTGGGATCTTTCAGGGGAATGTCTGTTATTCCTTGGTGGATCCTCTGAACCACCATTGTTACCTCAAGACAGTCATGGATGAACAGCTGCAGGTTGTCATCAAGCAGGATTGATGGCAGTTGGTTTCTCAAAGGGTGGTCCAGTAGTAGGGTCTGGTACTGGGTCACTGTCTTTCCCTAGGGACTTGCCCTGACTCTCTTGCACATTATCAAGGGTGGGGTGAGGACAGCATGGAAGGGGGACAAAAAGAATGTGTGAGTCAGTACAACTCTATTCTCACACTAGGAAAGCTCCTGCAATATACAGGGCCTACTGATGACGACTTCCTCATGGAAGGAGTCCCTGTCATCCTGTTTAAAGGTCTTTCCCTGATAACTTACATCAGTATCTTACTATTCTAGAAGACGCATGAACAAATATATTGAGAATTCACTTCTTTATTGAAAATACAAGTGCTGAGGAGAATATGGGTATAATAATAAGTTGTTGGTAACAGAAAGAAAAGCATCTGCATCTGGCTTCTGGGAAAGGATGAAACTCTAGGGCCCCTCCACAGTCATCAGGGAAATGTGGTCTGCCTAGCAGGAGGAGCATCTCTGGGCCTTTATTTATGGCTTTTGATATTTCCTGTATTGTTCTCTCTTCTTCTTAAACCAATTCTATAATGGGAGAAAAAGAAATTGGTTTACCACATAAATAATTAAGATAATAACCTGAAATACATCATGTACTTTATCTGCCAGAAGACCTTTCTTCTGTACTGCTCTAATTTATGAGGGGCTGAGGGTGTGGAACATGGTACAGTATCCCCAGTACTGCAGAACAGTCCTTGGACAAATGTCCAAACGTTGCATGCCCTTCCGGCCTCCCCACAGTAATTCACTATCGAGGAAGTCAGCAGGATTTTCAGGCAGATGCACCAGCATGCTTCAGATAATTACAAAGCTGGGTGTCCTTATCTGTGTGGCCTCACCAGATGCTTCAAAACAGCAGAGGGACCGGGCATTTGGACTCTATGCTTTCCCATTCCCATCAGTCTCTGTTTAACCAAGCTTACACCAACATTATCAGTGCTGGGTTCTGCCTGTCCACTATCCACACACCCATATTACTCCTGTAAGGATAAAATCTATGCTTACTTTTCAGTATTTCAAACAGTTTAGGATCATGGAACCCCTAGCTACACTAATTTGAATCCTTTGTATGTCATAACCACAGTGAGATGTTTCCACAGAGACATTCTACTTAAAGGATACTTAAAAGGAGTTGTACAAGATATATACATGTTTATGTATCTTATTTATCTATATATAATACAACTATGTGTGCATATACTGTGCATGCATTTTTATAACTCAAGCACATATTTATGATTTATCCATAGGATAAGTGTGTATAATATATATGTATTTAGGGAGTGAAGGTAGCTTAGTACTCGCTCCTTTTTTGTTCCTTCAGGAAGTTGTGTTCCATCTTTAAATGAGCTATTTCTGTATGGTAAGGCTATCTTATTCCCCTTTCTACCTTTTCTACAAAGATCACAAAATTCTAAAGTCAAATTGACAGGGCTAGGGAGAGGTTTCAGTACGTAAGAACACTTGCTGCTCTTGCAAGGGTCCTGTGCTTAGTTCCGAGCATCCAGATTGAAAGGCTCACGACTGCCTGTAATTCCAGCTCTGGATGATCTAATGTCCACAATATGTTGTATACACAGACACATACATACATGTAAATAAAATAAAAAGAAAATCTGCCTTTAAAAAGGTAGTTTTGGGCTGGGCAGTTTTGGCACATGCCTTTAATTCCAGCACTCCCAAGGCAGAGGCAGGGGGATCTCTGTGGTTGAGGTCTACAGAGCAAGTTCCAGGACAGCCAGGGCTACACAGAGAAACCCTGTCTCGGAAAAACCAAAATAAATAAATAAATATAAATATAAATATAAAAAATAAATATAAAGGTAGTTTTGATGGTTGGAGAGATGGTTTAGCAGTTAAAAGTGCTGGTTGATCTTCTAGAGGACCTGGGTTTGATTCCTGGCACCCATATTGTGGTTCACAACCATCTTTAACTCCAGTTCCAGGAGATCTGACACCCTCTTCTGGCTTCTTCAGGCACCAGACAACACACATGATTCACAGACATAAATGCATGCAAAACAACCATGAAATATAAAATATTACAACAACAAAAATATTTTTTAAAAGGTAATTTTTTTTGTAAGAGTGTGAAGTCAACAACAAGGCAGCAACTTCATGGACAGAACAAAGCTGTCCTAGACCTGAAGGAAGTCCTAGCACGGCATTCCGTCAGACTTCCGTTCACTCACCTGCACTTTGGCTTCACTCACACCCATGGATGCTGCCAGTTGTTTCCTGAGGGGAAAAATGACAGATGTTCAGTATTTGACATCATGGCTAGAATAAAATATGGATAGGACATTTTATCTTTCTTTTTAAATGTTTGTCCCATCCTCCCCCTTTTTGTGACATTCACCTTGGAGATTTTGAGTTTAACAAATTCTACCAGTAATTTTATTTTACCAACCCATCATGGACAGGCATGAAAAGCCAAGCTTGTCCCTGATAAGCAACTTGAAAAACACTAATATTGACAGCAAAAACCTAAAAAAAGGAGGGGTACTCCTAAAACTGGGTGTGGTAGTGAAGGAAACTGTCTATTAAAAAAAAGCAGAAGCTATTAAAACAAATTCACACAGGAAAAACTCATGTGGGGCTCTTTGTCAGGACAGAAGGATAAACTCAAACAAAAGAAGATAGATTAATGGGAAGTACCTGTAGCATGAATCTTAAAGAGTCTTATTAATAAAAACAAACCTGGAGGTAGGTATTGGGGTGAATGCTGGAAGATCAGAGAAACAGAACAAGCCACAGCCACCTCACCTTGCCAATTCCTCAGCTGATCCTGTTTCCTCAGACTGGAAGCCTCTGAGTCCTCATCCAGAATGAATCTCAGCAGAAATGCTGCTAAAAGCCTAAAAGCTTAACCAGCTCTAGTTCCTGGTCCTCACGCCTTAAATACCTTTCTGCTTCCTGCCATCACTTCCTGGGATTAAAGGCTCTTGTAACCACTCCTGGCTGTTTCCAGTGTGGCGTTGAACTCACAGAGATCCAGGCGGATCTCTGCCTCTGGAATGCTAGGATTAAAGGCATGGGTGCCACCATTTTCTGGCCTCTATATCTAGTGGTTGTTATGTTCTCTGACCCCAGATAAGTTTATTAGGGTGCACAATATTTTGGGGAACATAATATCACCACAAGCACCCAAGGATTTCTAATGTCCATTTAATATAGGAGGGTGTCAAACCTTCAAAGAAGTGATACGGTACATTTATTTTATTTATTTGATGTGTCTGTGCCAGGGTGCACCTGTGCAGGTTGGTCAGAGGACAACTAATAGAAGTTAGTTCTCTCCTATTGTGTGTGTACTGATGAATTCAGGTTCTCAGACTTGGTGGCAAGTACCTTTGCCCACGGAGCTATCTCATCCACCCCAGAAAATGAAATATTAAAAGCATAACAGACACAAAGTGAATGCTTTTTTTTTTCATGATACTGGCTGCCCAGTTCTGAATTTTCCCAGTGAAGGAAGTTGGGGAATGAAGCTCCTTGTATGATTCAGTTCAGCTTGAGCTACAAAGTGAGTTCCTGTACCAGGAAATTCAGGAGAAAAACAACACTGGCAAGGTAGACTAGTCCAAGATTCTTGCATAAACGGACTCACAGAGACTGGGCTGGCTTGGAACTCATGATGTAACAGAGGACAATTTTGGATTTCTTTGCACTTTTTATCTATCTGTCTCTGCGTCCCAATTACTGAGATTACAGAAGATTTTTTTTTTCTGTTTTGAGACACTACCACTCTGTAGTCCAGGCTACCTGGAACTCACTCCTGTTGTTTGATTGGCCCATCCAGTGCTACAATTACAGACAGAAGCCACCTTGTTCAATATTGAATCTTGTTTTTATGGAGAATATATTTTTTGGAGGGAGTAGAAATTTTAATGGGAGGCCAAAAGACAGTAGTTGGGAGAACTGTACCAATAGCTATATTTATGCAACTTAAGAAATATATGATGCACAAATATATCAAAAAAATTTAAAATCATTTATTTCATGTGTGTGAACATTTTGCCTACATGTATGTATGTGTATCACATTCTTGCCTGGTGCCCAGGGAGATGGTCAGAAGATGGAAGTGGAGTTACAGATGGTTGTGAGCTGCCATGTGGGTACTGGGAAACAAACCTGGTCCTCTTTAAGAGCAGAAAGTGCTCTTAACCACTGAGACATCTTGCCAGCCCCAAAGGTATAAACATTTTAACAAAGGCCTCCCATCAACAGACACCACCCAATTTTATACAATTAAATATATGAAAATACCTTCATTCCCAGTTTGGCTAGCTCTCATCCCTCATCCCGGAACCCTAGTGCCAGAGAATGGGGTCTGGCAGCCTGGATGTTGCAGGTGACTTTTGTTCAAGGGGGCAAGAGAGAGGCTGAAGAGATAGTTTAGCAGGAAAAGGCACTTGCTGGTTAACCTAGTGGCCTGAGTTTGACTCTGGGAGCCACATGGTGAAGAGAGGACTGATTCCCCTCGTTGTCCTAGCACCTCAGTACATATGACATGGCAAACACACAATAAAATAAATGAATAAAAATAAAATAATTTTAAATAGAGGGTAAGAGGGGCACCAGGGGAAAAAAGCAGCAACAACCCTCGACCACATACTCCCAGCAAATAGGCCACCAAGCCAGGCTATCTGCTCACCTTACGTCTGCAGTGATGTAGTGAGTATGCTGGAAAACACTCTCCAGCTCGTGCCGCTGCCAGTGGGCGAACCTGTTGCTTGAGGTGCGTTTGCACCTTGGCGCTGGCGCTGGCGCTGGCACAGGCGGCGGCGGTGGGGGCGGCGGCGGCGGCGGCACACCCTCGTTGTCTCCCATGCCCTCGTGAACCGGCTCCTGAGGTCGCTGCTCATTCTCCCGGGCACCACCACTGGCGCCATGATCCTCTTGGTTCCCGCCATCTTCGAGGCCCGCAGCACCAGCAGCAGAGGGACCTTCTCCACTTAATTCTCCGGCTCCTTCCCCTTCCGCTGCTGCGGCTTCCCGCCCAGGCTGGCCCTGTCCACTCGCTTCCTCATTTCTCCCCTCTCCAGCCGGCAAGGCCATGGGTGCCCTCGCATCTGAAAGTGGGAAACAGAAAGATTGGGTGACAGGGCCCAGGGTGGTGCGAAGTCGCTATGGCGCCAGGGAAGGCGAAGCCGGCAGTGCGCAGTGCCCGTCCGGTCACCTCTGAGGGACACTTCTCCCCTCACGGACATCACCAACCCACCATTCCTAGCGCACACTGACCACTCCAGTTTTCCTCGTCCTCGTCAGGTCCCACGTGAAGCAGGTGACGCTCCATGTTCGGAACACTGTCGAAGCCGCTTGCCGCTCGGCGTCCGAAGATTCTGAGCTGGAGCCCCCTACTGTTCTTAAAGCAGATCACCTCAGCCAGCAGGGGCTGTCTTCCGGTCCTGCACCCTGGTACACCTCGTTAACATGTATCCAGTCATGGGCGAGCTATCCTTGCTTCCGGTTGACTCCGGGTGCTGTGGGCTGAGCCCCTGAGGTGCGGACTGCTGGCAGTTTGGAGCTGCAATGAGCAGGCCGTTTGTGGGAAGACATGGCTCCTGGACAAGCAGGCTGTAGAAGGGGCCTTCCAAGTTGAGTCTGAGTCCCCTGGCCTTGGTGAATTTTCTTCCTAGGGAACAGGTGGGGGTCAACTACGGGAACTGATTTGCAGCGAGTAAGAAAAAAAAAAACCCAAAAAACAATAGTTCTTGAGGCCTTGTGGAAATATGAGGACCATATCTCTTGGTCTAGTACTCCACACTGGGTCCCTGGTACTTGGCAAAGAAGGGTTATCAAGCTAATGTGTTTATCTGGGAGGTTTTTCTTTGGGCTTTCACAGAAAATGAAGTTAGAGCCTGTCATGCTTCCATGCTCTGCCTTTCCAGGAGCTGGGCAGGGTTGCAGGGCCTGCTGGCCGCTCAGCAGGCAGATCAGAGGGCTCATCTTCACCAGGGATACTGGGGAGGAGTTGAGTAGTACTGTTCAGCCTTCATGGCTGCTGGCAAAAGCTGTGAGAATTGTCATACCTGTGCTGAGGTTCCTCATCTTTCTCTTGTTACCCCCCCCCCCCCCCCCCGCCACAGTTCTAGTGTCTTCTCTGAATGGTCAAAGTGTCAGGAGCAGGCCTTTACACCCTGGTCTCCATCCCAGAACTGTCAGTCAAGCAGCCCCTTCGCTGGCATGTGGTCAGACTGGTTCCAAGGCAGCCAACTATTCTCAACATGTTCTGGTCACTCTTAAAATAGAAGGGGCCCTAAAACACTAGTGTATCTCCATTAGTTCCATGTCTGAGCTGGCAATATTCAAGAGTCCTGGTACTGAAGTAAGAATCCTTCTAGGCAGTGTGGCACAGGCCTTTAATCCCAGCACTCGGAAGGCAGAGGTAGGCGTGGTCTACAGAGTGAGCACCAGGACAGCCAGGGCTGTTATACAAAGAAACTCTTGTCTCGAAAAAACCAAAAGAAAAACAAAAACAAACCCTAAACCCGCCCCCCCAATAATTCTTCTCCTAGAAAAAGACTTACCTCCCAGTTTTGATATATACTAAAGCTGCACATACATATTTCCTGCCCTTTGCTCGTCTTTGCTCTAAATCCTGAAACTGTGGTTGGCAAGGTGCTGAGAACAGGAGAATTTTTCTGTCTAGTCTGGCCAGTCATAGAGATACCAATTTTTGGGCAGGGGATGTAGCTTATTGGCAGTGTCCTTGTGTCACCTGAATAATATCATAGGTTAGAGCTCCCAAACTACATGAGACTGATCTGGTGTTTTCCAGTCCTGTAATGCCTGTTATCTGTGAACTTGGGGAGGAGAGGCATTAAGATCAGAGCTTCAGAGTAACCTAGGCTACAGATGTGCTTGAGATCAATTTGCAGCACTTGAGACTCTTTGGGGGGAAAAAGGCTTTATTTCTTTTCTGCAATCTCTTTTTTTTTTCTGTAAAGCAGTGAACAATGGACTGATTTAATTTTAATTTTTTTCTTCTTTAAATTAATGGCTGGTTCAAATATATAAACTTTGCATATTATATTTCTATAGAAATGCAAATAAATTGTACATGCATCAGTGGTATGGCTTACCTGTTTTTGTTATTGCTGTTTTGGTTTTTTTGATATGAGGTCTATGTAGTTCTGTCTGTCCTGGAACTCACTCTGTAGACCAGGCTTGCCTCAAACTCACAGAGATCTACCTGCCTCTGCCTCCCAAGTGCTGGGATTAAAGGCATGAGCCATCATCGCCTGGCTCTTTTTTTTATTTTTGAGATATTAATTTCATTTCATTTCTCCCCTCTCATGCCTCCATCTAAGTGGTCCCATAGACTTCTCTTTGCTCTCCTTCAAATTTATGACCTTTTTTCATCAATTGTTATTGTATGCATATATGTATTTGCATATACATATATGTTCCCAAATATAATCTGTTGAGTTCACATAAGTTACTTGTATGTATGTTTTTAGGACTGACCATTTGGCACCGGACAACCAGCTGGTGTGCTTTTCCCCTGGGGGAGGACCACCTCTCCTGCCCCTAGCTTTCCTCGGTTGCCTGTAGTTCTGTGTGTAGGGTTAAGACCTCCTGGACTTTTCCCTGTGAAGTTTGCCATGCTCGTTTGTGTCATCCTTGTTCAGCTCACCTTCGGATGGGCATATTGGTTAAACTTCATGGGTACAGTTTCTGGTGTTACTAGGACATAATCCCACAACAAATTCTCTGATCCTCTGGCTCTTAGAATCTCTCTGCCCCCTCTTCAGCAATTTTCCTGGAGTCTTAGGTACAGGAGTGTTTTGGAGATGTGTCCACTGAGACTGGGCTCCACAACTCTTCATTTGATTGGTTGTGATTTTCTGTAGTGGTGTCCATCTGTAATAAAGAGAAGTGTTCTTGACGAGGAGTGAAGACTATACTTATCTGTGGGTATAAGGACAAATGTTTATAGATTTTTGTTAGGGATTATGCTGGTTTAATAAATTAGTGGTTGCAGTTATTCTCTTCCAATAACCATGACTTCACAAGCCTAGTCAAGGTTTCTAGTACTTCCTCTTGTTGAGTGGGTCTTAAGTACAATTTGTTACTGACAAGGTATGCATGCCACCACTTCATCCTTAGGGTTATTGTGTCATGCTGGCCATTGATGTGGTTCCTAGGCATCATAGCTGGGTAGGATAGTGGGTTGCCTCCGTCCGCTGAAGCTTGCATGGCACCTTCTGGTACAATGAAAGTTAGTTCTTAGGGAGGGGGTATTCAGGTCAGTTCCAGCTCAGGGGTCTCTGGGCCTGTTTCTGAAGTGCATGGTGTCTTCAGCAATAGGGACTTACTTTCCACATTTGGCGTGTAACAAAAGGCAACATAGGCTGTATGTTTTGGGAGTCTTTTGGACAACCCCGTCCAACAGCTCCAAAGGGATTTTCTCAGGTTTGGGATTGGGGTTTTTGTTGGGTGGTTTTTGGCTCTGTGCTTTAAGGTGTTCAGGCATGGCTACTGGAGAGGGTTTTTGCTAGATTTAGTCATTTTGATGTTGTTTTTTTAAATGTTCTTTCTTCTTCTTTCTCCATCCCTTCAAAAATCTCCGGCAGTTACTCAGGTGTCCTCATGATTCATGGTGTCTTGTGCTGATATTTTTCAATAGTTTTCTTGTCCATTCCTCAGACTTAATAATCTCAATTGATCCCTCTTCAAGATTACCTTCTTTGCCTACTCACACATGCTAGGCCCACCCTTCAGTGATTTTTATTCAATTATGTTATTCATATTTGTCTCATAAATACTTTTGTTATAATATATATTTTTATTCATCTGTTTGCTCATGGGTGGCTGTGCATGCCATGGTGCATATGTGGACATCCTGTGTTAGTTCTCTCTTCTCACCAAGTGGGTCTAAGGTGTATGGAAAGCAGGTTGTCAGGTCTGGTAGGAAGGTCTTTTATCTGCTGAGCCATCTCACTAGCCTAGATGCTATTTTGTACCTGTAGAATTTTTATTTATTTTTTCTTGGTGTGATGGCTATCTTTTTACTTAAAAAATTTTCATACAATGTATTTTAATCATGTTTTCTCCCTCCCTCAACTCCTACCAGAACCTGCCCACCTCCCTCCCCGTCCAACTCTGTGTTCCTTCTCTCTATCATTAAAAAGTTCTATCAGCACTGCACCTCACCTGGGCAGCACAGGAGAGCTGACCCTTTTGGTGGTGGTGCAGGTGAGCCAGCCCAGAGAGCATGAAAGCAGGAGAGAACTGACCTGTCCCCCACCCCTATCAGCCACGTGGTGGCATGGGTGAGGGAGAGATGCTCTTCCCCCATTGCCCCTTGCCACCTATGGCTCCAGGGGGAATGAGATCAGGAGAGCAGGCCCTGCACTTTGCCTGCGGAGTACACTAAAGCTGACCCTGTTGGCAGGGGTGCAGGTGAGCTGGTCCTGTGGATGTGAGAGTATATGCCATGTAGTGGCATGGGTGGGGAAAATATGCCCTCCACCCTCCATGGCTTGCCAACTGCAGCAGGCAAGAGAGCTGTCATTGGGACATGATAACAGAAGAGTTAGCCTTGTTCCTCACCAACTGCAGCAACTGGGAGAGTGGCCCATATGACTTGCCTGGGCAAAATGGTAGAGCTGGCCCTGGTGGTGTGAGTGGGTGAGAGCCGGACCTGAGGGTGTGAGAGCAGGAGAACTGGCCCTGCTCTTTGCTGCCTGCAGCATTGGATGGGCTAACCGATGCAGTGCAGGAGAGCTTGCCCAAGTGGTGGTGATGAGGGAAAGCTGGCAGGCTGACCAACCCAGCTACCACCCAGGCCTGGAACCAGGGCTATGGGTTAGCTCACTCCAACAGCCATCTCGTTTATGAACTGCTGGAGTATGTGAAGGGGATGAACCTACAGATCCAAAGCTACAGGATCTCCATGACACAGGACAACAACAGGATAGCCAGGGGGAGTCCTAGTGAGGGCCCAGTATCAATAGGGTAGCAGGAGCCAGAGGCCTCGAGCCAGACCAACAATCCACTGTAAAGACCACTTATAGCCGGGCGGTGGTGGCACACGCCTTTAATCCCAGCACTCGGGAGGCAGAAGCAGGCGGATCTCTGTGAGTTCGAGGCCAGCCTGGGCTATAGAGTGAGTTCCAGGAAAGGCACAAAGCTACACAGAGAAACCCTGTCTCGAAAAACAAAAAAACAAAAACAACAAAAAAAGAACACTTACAAGTAAAGATGTATGGACTCAGGGGTAAACTGTGTGACTCACTTGGCAACACTACAGTTTCTACACCAAAATTTTCTTTCTCTGTTTTTGTTTTG